ATATTATCAGACTGTGGGAAAAAGTAAGTGGCGACAATTAAAAGATATAGTCCACCCCTTTGAGGTGTTACTTCTAGTGTATTGAAGAATTGAAGTGTTACTGCAGATGCTCATAACATGAAGATCTAGAAAGTAATGCCATTCATGTATATAATTTCCCACTTTCAATGTCACGGTGTAGTTATTGTCCTCGGGTTGTTTTGATTACATTGACTGTTGCTGTGAATGGCTAAGAGAGGTCGATAATTGGACTTTGACAAAAAATAAAGATGATGTATTACTGTTATTGGAAGCGAGGCAATCACAATTGTTTCATTTCAGTATTTTGGGGAAAATGTTCAAAGAGCTCCATGTTGTTCAATAATAATGTTATTTTTATTGGCAATGGATAAGTTCACAAACAATAATCAGTTCATTTCGCTCAAAAAGTGCGTGGTAATTTCTTGGAAACTACCTATAGCATGCCAAGGTCAAGAGGTCATTGTGGCGTCGTCAATGATGGCATCAACGTTAATGGTATGTCATGCGATTGTTTTAATATTTGATGACACTTATGATTGTTGTAATGTTGATAATGTTGATTTAGGGATGTTCCTGAGATTTTAGGATCATTCCGATTTTTCCAAAAAAAGAGTATTTGTAACGTATCCCCGTTGCTTAATTAGAATGTTGTTGATCATCCATGGCTTTTTACTTTTGGCTCTGCACGGCTATTACCTCCTCTAGGTGGCGCAGTATCCTTTGTTTAGACTCATTTATTGTGCCCGAGCCAGTTGGTGTCTTGTCAAGTCTGATTAAATCCAATTAAGCCATTTAAGACAATTAAGTCACTGTGAGTTCACCGAGCAGGCAGACTTGAATGTTAAAATGAACGATCACTGTGTCGTGAAAACAACATTTAAAAGGTTTTAGTGGTCGGGTAAGAAAAAACAACTTCGAAATGCCACGAATTATATTTACAATCATTCCATTTACCCAGGAAAGCACGCCTCACTGAGCCTCAAGACTCTCATTCAGGAGGTTCCTGCGTTGGGGATGATTGACCGCTTCCTTGTTTAATACATTTCAGCGGGAAGCGGATATTGCCTTAAACGGCTGTAGCTTATTTAAGCCCTCACAGGCCACTAGTTACTGCTGTCAGTCAGTTTTTTTTAATATACAGCCATTCGTGTTACTACCTATGTTGCATTTCTGACGTAGTCGTCATGGGCAGCCCGACATCTTCCTCCAACGGTTGTAGAGACATGAAAGGAGTTGAGCTGGGGGAGATTTGGGCTGGAGACGACGTGAAGTAGGAAAATCGAAATAGGGAGCCGTCCATAAATGACGTCACGCACCTGGGGGGGGGGGGTGTCAGACATTTGTGACGATGTATGATGAGGGGGGGGGGGGTTTGAGAAATGTGACGTCACGTAAAAATGCGCAACTTTGAGTAAATATAGACAACGTTCTGCTTAATTAAATATACTTTTTAATAAACGTTTTCTCTTACAATATCAGAGTGCAGCGCCACGTTAAATACGCACTACAATGACAATAGTTTAAAGCGATTTGAAGCATGTTTTATTTTTAGAGGGGGGGGGGTACAGCTTTGTGACGTCATATTTGAGGGGGGGTCTGACTTTTTGTGACGCTGTGTGACGAAGGGGGGGCGGTCAAAAATCGCGTGACGTCATTTATGGACGGCCCCTAGGCGATCTCTGCGTGGAGCTCAAGGGAACAGGACACAAAGCTGCCTTCTTAGCTTAACACGCCAAGGAACCTAAGTGGATTTAGACAGCACGAGATAGTTTTAAGACGCTCCAAAAAGCAGTGGCCATAACGTATTTACACGCAAAACGAGTCTCGAGACTGGGCGTGAACACGGCCAGGGGGAGTCGACAGCACGGATCACCATGTTGATTGGCGGCTTCTTACAAAGCCGTGGCACCGCCGAAGCAGAATGTGCGTGGAGGGCAGCAGCGTGAGATGAGAGGGGAGAGATAGGAGAGTGCGTGGAGGGGAGTGAGATGAGAGGGGAGAGTTAGGAGACTGCGTGGAGGGGAGTGAGATGAGAGGGGAGAGATAGGAGAGTGCGTGGAGGGGAGTGGAGTGAGATGAGAGGGGAGAGGTAGGAGAGTGCGTGGAGGGGAGTGGAGTGAGATGAGGGGGGAGAGATAGGAGAGTGCGTGGAGGGGAGTGGAGTGAGATGAGAGGGGAGAGATAGGAGAGTGCGTGGAGGGGAGTGGAGTGAGATGAGAGGGGAGAGGTAGGAGAGTGCGTGGAGGGGAGTGGAGTGAGATGAGGGGGGAGAGATAGGAGAGTGCGTGGAGGTGAGTGGAGTGAGATGAGATGAGAGGGGAGAGCTTGGAGAGTGCGTGGAGGTGCGTAGAGGTGAGTGGGGAGAGGCAGGAGAGTGCGTGGAGGGGAGTAGGGATGGAGAGGTTGGCCGGGACGAATCCAGGGAGAATCTTAAAGACCGCGTGATCTTCAAACTGATCCACGATTGCATTGAGGAGCCAGTGTAGGGACTGTATGTGGTACAGCAGTGGAGTGATGTGGTATCGCTTAAATAGTCCGGGTGGCTTCGTATGGGTCAGTCAACTCCCATGGCGGTGTGTGCTTTAGGCGCCATCCATTTAGTGGGTACACAAAAATCTGCCAACACTTCAGCCCCCCCCCTCTCCCTGTACGCACGCGGACTTTTTACACCCCCCCCCCCCCCGAATAATATAGAACGGCCGATATTTAATCCACGCAGAAACGATCAAGGATGAATAATATTAACGTGTTTAAGCAAACAGATAGTCCACGGCCGGACTATCTAATTTGAAGGTCATTGTAGACAAATTGTTGTCGAGGCTTCACCCCCTTCCTCCCCCCTCCATGCGTACGTACTGAATGGATGGCCCCTTACTAAACACGCCTGCTCATTGTCAACACGGGGTTGCAGGTAATGCGCCGTGCGAGACGATGTCTTTACACAAGAGTTGTTGCTGCAATGTCCCACAACGCAGCAACGCATCTGCGTCGCCGGCAAGGTCCTCGCCGTAGCAGCCTTGCCGCACCGATGCCGAGACAGCCGCGTGGATATCTCAATGCTGTTCGTAAGGCAGGGCACTGTGTGTGTGTGCAGGGCACTGTGTGTGTGTGTGCAGGGCACTGTGTGTGTGTGTGCAGGGCACTGTGTGTGTGTGTGTGTGCAGGGCACCGTGTGTGTGTGTGCAGGGCACTGTGTGTGTGTGTGCAGGGCACTGTGTGTGTGTGTGCAGGGCACTGTGTGTGTGTGTGCAGGGCACTGTGTGTGTGTGTGCAGGGCACTGTGTGTGTGTGTGCAGGGCACTGTGCGTGTGTGTGCAGGGCACCGTGTGTGTGTGCAGGGCACTGTGTGTGTGTGTGTGCAGGGCACTGTGTGTGTGTGTGCAGGGCACTGTGTGTGTGTGTGTGTGCAGGGCACTATGTGTGTGTGTGTGCAGGGCACTGTGTGTGTGTGCAGGGCACTGTGTGTGTGTGGACAGGGCACTGTGTGTGTGTGTGCAGGGCACTGTGTGTGTGTGCAGGGCACTGTGTGTGTGTGGACAGGGCACTGTGTGTGTGTGTGTGCAGGGCACTGTGTGTGTGTGTGTGCAGGGCACTGTGTGTGTGTGCAGGGCACTGTGTGTGTGTGTGCAGGGCACTGTGTGTGTGTGCAGGGCACTGTGTGTGTGGGCAGGGCACTGTGTGTGTGGGCAGGGCACTGTGTGTGTGTGGGCAGGGCACTGTGTGTGTGTGGGCAGGGCACTGTGTGTGTGGGCAGGGAACTGTGTGTGTGGGCAAGGCACTGTGTGTGGGCAGGGCACTGTGTGGGCAGGGCGCTGTGTGTGTGTGTGGGCAGGGCAGTGTGTGTGTGTGGGCAGGGCACTGTGTGTGTGTGGGCAGGGCACTGTGTGTGTGTGTAGGGCACTGTGTATGTGTGGGCAGGGCAGTGTGTGTGTGTGGGCAGGGCACTATGTGTGCAGGGCACTGTGTGTGTGCGTGGGCAGGGCGCTGTGTGTATGCGTAGGCAGGACACTGTGTGTGTGTGTGCAGGGCACTGTGTGTGTGTGTGGGCAGGGCACTATGTGCGTGTGTGCAGGGCACTGTGTGTGTGTGGGCAGGGCACTATGTGCGTGTGTGCAGGGCACTGTGTGTGTGTGCGTGAGTGTGGGGAGCGGTCGTGTAGCGGTGAGCGCCCTGCGCTACGGACCCGAGTTAAGATTCCCGCTCACGGCCAAGGCCAGTGACCGGTATCTGGGCCTCCCTAGGTCGACTCGGCCTCAAATGAGCACCTGGTGCGGTGTGTAAACATCGCCACTGGGGGGAGACAAAGGCGGCCGGGCGTGGGTGCTGGCCACCCCACACCCTTCAGTGCCGTTGCCGGCCTTCGTAGGCACTACTCGCTAAAAGCAACTAGCCCCGACAGTCTATTGAGGCGACACAGGGGTCGGTGGGGGGGGAGTTGTCTTTGGTTCGAAGCTTCGCATAGGCGAGGTTCGCGTTGCAGTCGGAGCGGGACTCGCTTCGTTGTGGGCGTGACCTGCTGACCAGGGAGGGCACAGTGGGCGGGGCTTGGAGTAGGCGCGGAGGCTTGGTTGTTAGTGGGTGGGGCTTGAGGCACACCGTAGGCGGGGCTTATTTTGTACAGTGGGCGGGGATTGATGTACAAGGGGCGGCGCTTGTTTTTTTCTTCAGTGTGCGGGGGGACTTGTGTTGTGGTGGGCGGTGCTTGTTATGTAGTGGGCTGGGGCTTGATGCGCAGTGGGCGAAGCTTGATTTTTACAGTGGGCGGGGCTTGATTTTTTTCAGTGGGCGTGGCTCGAGGCACAGCTTGTTTCTACAGTGGGCGGGGCTTAATGCACAGTGGGCGGAGCTTGTTTTATATACAGCGGGCGGGGCTTGTATATAATTTTTTACAGTGGGCGGGGCTTTGATACTCAGTGGGCGGGACTTTGATACTCAGTGGGCGGGGCTTGAAGCACAAGTGGGCGGGAAGGGGAGGGGGCTCGTCTGAGAGTGGGCGGGGGGTCGCCGGCGCCGCGCGCGAGCGAGCGAGAGGCAGGCGCGCGCGCACGTGCCCAGAGTCTCAGTGCTCGGATTAAGCGGAGCGGCGTGCGGCGGACTCCACTCAGCGCCCCCCCCCCGCCAAACACCGCCGGGCTCGACAAGTCACGACCATGGGCGCGGAGGGCGACGGCGAGGATGAGATTCAGTTTCTGCGGACGGTGAGTCGACGTCTGTCTGCGTAGGGTGAGCTGCGTGCGGTTTGCGTATATACCGTGAGAGGTGGCGCAGCGGTTTGCGCACTGCGAACTCGGTAACCCGAGTTCGATTACCGGCCACGGCTAAACATCAAGGGCAAGCGATATCTGACCCGGCCCACTCAGCTCTTCACAAACCCGCACATTGACCAGCATGGTGAAGTATCGTCAAACAATCTCCACGATCGAAACGGAGACCTTCATCCAGCAGTTGATTGGCAGGGCTGTAAATGATTGTATTATACCATGCACACGTGCATTATTACCGTGGAGTGCACGTGTGTCAATACGTGTGTTCATAGATATGGATGTCCATTGATTGACCCTATACATTGTCCGTGCATATGTGCGCGTTGGTCATGTGTCCGTAGCCATGGATCGTTATATACTCCAGTTAAGTGTACCGCTGCAATGTGTATGTGTGTGATGTGTACCCATACCTGTATTGGTCTATGCACTGCGCGGATCCTTCTATCGTATGTGTCCATTCATACCTGTCTCTGTGCTTAATTTATTTCATACATGTGTAATAATACATGTAAGCACGGACATATCTAATGTACTCGTGTGTGTAGCCATACGTGCATGTACATCTGTGTCCATAGCTCCAGTGTAATAAAAATTTTAAGGATTGTTTTTGCGCATATGTGCGTGTGTTAATGCCTAATAGATTGTTGAGACAAATGCTGTTAACGAGCACCTATGAAGACCAGCAGCCCACGAATATAAGGGGATCTTTGTCCAACCTAATATAATATACGTTGTGCGCCTACGCGCATTTGTGTGCGCATCAATAAACGTGAGCTCGCATCCGTTCCGTGCCACGTGTGTTCACGTGTGTTCGTGCGAACGCATTTGTTTTAACTCATCGTGCGCGTACAATACACACGCAGCTCACGTGTCACGAACGATACAGCATCGAAGTTGTGCGTGACATACCAAATGCGCCCGTGTGCGCATGTGTGTAGGCCAGTTTTGTGTGTACAGGCACGCGCGTGTTTACACAGTAAGATGACAATGTGCCCGCATTCCAATGACATTACATGCATTGTTGGTACCCAAATGTGTGTGCTGAGTGGCAACAGCTGGTGATGAGGACTCGTGCCTGGGGCTCAAGTCCAGACCAGGCAGGCGGGCACAATAGGCTCTCCTAAAATTAATCAAACCTAACTCGAAACGAGATTGATCAAAAATAACTGCCAGAAGTAACATTCGTAGCTGGTGGGGCATTTTCAGATTTAACAAAATGTTTCGAAATTGACTCAATGATAAGTCGAACCCCGGGCTCATGGGGCGTGGGATGCTGTTTCCTAATTTTAATAAATGACATTATTCTGGGTTTAACCTTTTCCCCATGTCCGGCCAATTGACGTGCCATGTTCCCAATTGACGTGCTATGTCACATGCATGTATATTATTGGGAGAAGGGAAACGTTTATTCTGGAATATACCTTGTTGACATCTGTTTTGTTTACGATGGAAAAAAAAACGTTCATTGCAAAGGAGAGGCTGGCTCCTGCCAAAGTAATGTGGGATTTCTATCACTGATTCATTCGAATTATTTTAATATGTTCTAGGGCCAGATTTCACTGACGCGTTAGGACTAAAATGCCACCAGACAATTGGGCTATTTTTCCTTAAATATACTGTATATATACTGTACTCACGTGGGCATGCGTGTGTGTGTGCTTGTTTACTTGTGTGCATGTGTCACATTGTGCCTAGGGCTGCTTGGAAATTGTGAATGTGCCACCTATAAATACATCAGACAGATATGAATGCAACACACAACAGCAGCGGAGTGACAATTTACGTGCGAGTGATTCCCGATTGAGTAGCTGCACTTCTCGGGGGTTATAAGGACGACCTGGCTGTCGCGAAATGCCCCAGTGAACTCCGTGCCTTAAACCCTGTTGCAGGTGCTTGATATTTCACTGAAATATCTTCCGGGTCGCTGTTACAATTGGAGTTAGGCATGGGGCGAGTAGCCACAGCCATAGCGAGAAGTATACTGGATGCGGTGTGCCACGTGTGGAAATATTTTCCGAGTTGCCGACCTGGACAGACCTTGCTGAAATTCAGCCCCGCCTGTTACCGAGCAAGGAGTGCTTGGCCGAATACGCAATGAACGCACTGCGAAGCAAGCCAAGTGTTCTTCGAATTGAGTTTCTAAAAAATGTATATCTGTTTCTTCCCCACCTTTTATGGATGGCAGCATTAGTTTAACGCAACCGTTCAGAGTTTTTAGAACGGATTCTTTTTTTTGTGTTGACCGTTGCACAATAATAAATGTCTACCCAGATGGGCACTGTGGTTAGAGTGCACGCAACACCATCGGATAGTTGTGACCAAAAAGTCCGATCTGCGGGTTCAACTTTGCCCATTGTCTCATCGTCATCAAATGAAATGACTACTGTTTGTGGGAAGTCAGCAGTGGTTTTTCTGAAAATTAGTCCCTGCCATAGGAATAGAATTTTGACTATTGACTCCAACAGAGGTGAGCATTTCCCAATTCACATTTGAGAAATAAAACATTTGGACTTGAATGTGATAATTCATATGAAAAGCCTCTGAGATATTGTCAGAAATGGTACAGCTTGGACTATTTGGACAATTTTCTTTTGAGCTTTAACAACATATATAAACCTGTATGCCAACATAAATTGACATGTGTTTTTTTAAAGATCAAATTGAATATAGGCAGAAGTTGATATTTTGCATATTGATAAAATTACTCTTGTTTGTAATTGTGAAGGAGGGAGGATGCTCTTGTTCTGGAGGTGGGTTTTGTTTCACATGGCGACAACGCGGCTCTGCAGCCCACGGCTATCATTGGGCTAACGACGGTGTTAAGTGGACACGTGCTGGGACAATGCGAGAGCGCTGAACGTTGGAAATGGCGAAGAGGTTAAAAGAGCAGCAACGTCCTGGTGCTTTTCTCCTGTGGGAATGCGGGGCTTGACAGAGGTGGCTGATACACGAGTTAGGTGATTCACGTTTATTTGTGGATCCAGCCTTGCCCGGATCTGGCTTGTGTTTGGAACAGCTGCTGGCCTCCTGGCATGCGTACGCGGTAAGTGATATTTGGCAGGGTGTGGCACGGCCCGGGGTGTAAGGAAGGGCCCCCCCTACGCATTTGGCTTTTGGTGGCCGATCGCGGCACTCGGCTCGGATAGGGAGCACGGAATGCGCGGCATCAGCAGCCGAGGTGTCGGGCAGCTCGAGGGAGCTGAGTGTTGGGAAAGATGAGCGCGATAAGAGGCGCGCGCGCGCCATCACTCTCGATGCCACCGTTGACGCCCGGCGAGCTGGAGGTGCAGATGTTTCATAGGCAGCTGTTTGCGCAGTTGTCCGCACGCAGCAGAAGAGCGACGTCGACATTGTGATGGATCGGCGACATTCAATATTATGCTGCTGTGGATTTTTAGGCCACATGGTGCTTGTTTAAAGAACCTTGCTTATAATTAGAAAGATCGTGGGTTAGAAACCTGGTCATGGCTTAATTAATTAATGGCCCAACATCCCCCTGGGGTCAATAAAATCAGTCTTGCTTTGTGGGAAATAAATGGTGATTGTGCTGTGCAGAGACTGTAGGAATGTGAAATTATCTCCACTGGCTCAGCCACCGATGGAGATGAGCACCGATTAATGCTTGTTTTGGTTCAAGGATAAGCTGACTTTTTATATTGCTAAAAACGGATGTTAAAGTTTCTAATTACATTTGAAATCATGTTGGTGCACATTTATTTTATCATGTTTCATGAAATCTTTGAAAAAAGTGACTCGTTTCAGCTCCTTAGAATATCAATCAATTGGCAGACACGAGAAAAAATAACGGTTTATTGATTTTCCCGAATCCCGTCAAGCCACCTCCAGTAGGGCGTTTGCATTACAGCGAAATTTAAACGTGTAAGCACAGTGCAGCAGGAAGGTAATAGTTTACGTCACAATTTTGATTTATGCAGCATCTAAATGCAGGTGGGTCTCAAGAAGCCGTGCAAAAAGTAAGTCATGCGTATCACGGGATTTATCCAAATGGGAATGTATACTCGTATTACTACAAAACCCACTCTTGTGATCAGATTAACAGAAGCATGTGCTGGGCGATCCTAAATTCTTGCACTCTTATCAAGTGCGCAACATTTTGTTGCTTAGAAATTGTGTTTTGACTACATTTTATGGTTACGTTAGTTTTTTTTACAATCTGACAAACAAGTCCCCAAAAACAATTTCAGGGAGTGGTGAATGACAGTGTCGGCCTCTTGGGATTGCGCAAATCCGGCAGGAGCGACTGTGTGTACAACTTTCTACAGTCAACAACTCGTATAATCAACATAAATGTATCATAGCTTGAATAAAGCAAACATACAATAATTAAACAAGTTGCCACTTTGAAAATACCAAACACAAGATTGTATTATTGTATGATACAAAAAACCTCAATCAATAATCAATTAATCCACCGGTTAAAACAGGTAAAGGAGCAGCCCTGCAATTTCTTTCTTATCGCCATTACTGGCAGAAGTGCGTCCACTAGAGGGAGCTCTAGGTGACACACATTACACCACCAAACGTGACCTACCGATTGACCGACTTGTGTCGTAACCATTTATGCTGCAAGGTGGACAGGAGCGGAGACATTTAAGAAACGTGCACCGTTGTTTCATCTGCCGCACTGGGAAATCAAATTTGGCGACCTCTAGATTTCAAGTCGAGTATGATAACCATTAAACCAGAGCAGCGTCGAGAGAGAACAGTTAATTATGACCAAAATTAACGCACCCACCACTGGAAACGGACTTGAACCACGGTGCGAGAGGTCATCAGCATGGACGCAGAGGGGAGAGGAGGGACAAGGCGGGGTCGAGAGAGAGAGGTAGCGATTCAGTATGAAGGTGGTTGGTAGGGGATTGGCTTGGCAGGTGCCAGTGAATCAGCGCTTGCTGCTGCAGTGACACGCTGCGTTCGTCTAAAGTTCACAAGCACTCTTTAATCTGTAGGAATTTCACGAGGTGGCGGGTGGTGGCGGCGGGAGGCGTTGAGGAGGGGGGGTGGGAGACTCCATGCCAAGAGTGTACCCCGGGTGGCGTTGCCATTTTTAAAATCTTGGGGGACGGATCACAGCGGCCAAAATAGGCTTTTAGGGCTGTGACCCCAGAGAGAGCGTTTGGGTGCTGTGGTCAGCAGGGGGATGAGGGGGGAGTGGCGGAGGTTCGAAAAAGGCACGGATTGTTAACGCGGTTAGCACTTTCAGCTCATGCGGGACAATTTATCCTTGTCGGGATTATAACCGAGGCTGCTGATATCCGGATGCTCACTTTGGAAGAGTATTCCTTCAACTTGTAATCTGCCGCTTTTCAACCAACAGAGATAAATTTCTCCTGCTATGCAAGGGGTATCTGCCGTGATTGAGTTGATCGCCTCCGCCAAATGAGACCCCAATGTATTTATTTTTTGTTAAATAATGGTTCCCAGGAAAGTAGGCCGATATATCCATTCACTGCTCTGCTAGTGACTTGAGAAATTGTCACGATTTGGAGTTGCAATTGGATTATATAATTTGTTCTTTTTTTATTTTTTATCGCCTAGTTTGTATTGTTTTTATTTTTTTCAGTCTCGTTTGTGTTTTCTGTTCCATTGGTCTCAACATAACTTAAGGGTGCCACAGTGACAAGATGTTAACTACCTTGCCTGGTATGCAGGAGGTCGTGGGTTTGATCTCGACCATGACGCCTGTATATTTTGAGTTTGCATGTTTTTCCCATGGTCGATTGGATTTTTTACCGGGTCCTCTGGTTTTTCCCTCCCACATTTAAAAACATGCGTTTCGAGTATTTGGCTGCAATACATTTCCACATGATCAGCCAATTCGTTGAGCTACAATTTGTCCCCAGGTCGCTTCTGAAAAAGAACTATACAGCTTCGTGGGCCTTACCTGGTAAAATAAGACTTGTTTTTGTATTAATGTGTACATTTACATTAACTGTAAATAATCTATTCTTACATATACAACTTGAAGTTTGTATTGTGAACATGGTAATATTTATATTCTTGGTTCTTTCGGTAAAGTCACGTTGAAGGGAAACAATAAAATATATATAAAACAGTCACGAAAGCTTTAAATCAAAATGGTAATATTTGTTATATTGGTGCATTGAATAATTATTGCATGCCTAATTACTCAATTTGGACCATACATGACACTCATCGCCCCCTACTGGCAGACTAATACCCCAGGTTTCTCTTGCAAATGAGACTAGACTGGTCTCTCTTGAGTAAAACATTTATACATTTAAGGCGAAATTTGAAGGTTTGCATCGCAAAATGTGCAGTTGCAAAGCAAACTAAATCAGAATCGTTGGTGAGCGTTGACAAGAGATGGGGCAGGTTTTACGAGGTTTGGAAAAACAGAAGGGAGTTTCAAAGGCTGAGATGTCTTAAAGAATGAAGATAATTTTTCCTTTGTGTAGTGGGGCAGCTGTAAACCATGATCGTAGTAATCGTAGAAGAGAGACAAGGAGGCAACAGATGGTGATAATTCGATTGAGTCTTATATTGAAAATGTTGCTTAATAAATCAGATTTTAACACATTACACTTGATACATTGCTTGCTCGTGCCACTGATGGCAGAAGGGTTTCCACTAGAGGGAACTCTAGATAATCCCTCTAGAGGCGATTTGGCCTACTCTTCTATGCTAACCAGAGGTTTTGGAATGTTGGAGTACCCACATTTTACCTCATCAACTGTGTCCTGTTGATTACCTGTGCCACTTCGGGAGATCGAATCGGTGAGCTCCCGCTTATAAGTGCAGTGGGCTCACCGTAACACCAAGGCAGCATCCCTCACGAAATGTAGTCTAATAACACTAATTCCTGCAATGTTAACATTATCATAATTGCATGGAGTGTAATTAAGAAACATGTGGGGACGTTTCATGTTCTTGTGATTTAGGACATCGTAGATTCTAACACCGTATCTGTTGGCTACCCTTATTGCTGATGAGCCAAGAATATTTTTCTCCTCTGGCGATAAGCATAGCAAGGCTGGCAAAACCACGTGGGCAGTGGTAATGTGGCGCATCCCTAAAATGGGCCTAACTACGACTAACATTAAAAATGGAAACCTGAGTGCTAGTAAAGCGAAAAATAATTGGAAAGATTGTTTAATGACATCATACCACCTACAGTATTTAAAGCCAAAGGCAAGATTGGGGGAGATTTTGACACTCTTGGTAACTCTGTGATGCTGGTTGCAACTACTTTACCAGCGGCAGCATTTGTACCAAATTGCTTACTGGTGTGCCGAAGCAATAATACACATTGGCGCCTGTTTTTTTCACTTGACAATTTTAGTGATTTGTATGTATGTGTCAGGTAGTGGTGGATGTACAACCCAAATTGAAATTTTACTCAACACGATCCGACCCAAAATTAATTATGAAACGGAAAAGGTCATGAATGAACATTTCATGTCATTGTCTTCCATGCTACTTTAAACGTATGTATTTGTCCATGGGATTTATTGAATTATATGCAAAACAATGTTTGTGAACAAAAAAAAATATGATGCATGCTCTGTTGGCTCGCGTTAATGCCATTCCCCTTAATTCTATAATCCTACCGATTATAAAATGACCCAAATGTAACAATTATTTTAATCCAGCAATTACATATATTTATCTTGTATGTAGAAATTGGTGTGACTGCTAAAGGAGCTTTGAATGGGATCCACCTTTGCATTGTATACGGTCACCAAGGGATTTTATTAATTCTAGGAAATGACGCAACATTGGTGGCTGTTTCAATGCACAATTTAAATGTTTAGTTCAATACCCTTAATTTAACCAGCAAACATCACATTGCCTTGTATTATTATTCTTTACAGGGTTTGAGGCTGATCCTTTAGGCGGTGTTGGTATTGGCCAGGTCAGTTTCTGAAACCACAGTTGCGATTGTTGTGAGATGCGGAATTTTCAGTGGGTCTGCGCCTTCTAATCTGCACCGACTATGGACTACAGAATTCCCGAATGTGGCTACGTGTCTCTGTGGTTAGGTAGCTCATGTTACAGTCAAAAACGCACAAGTGCTTGTAAGGCAACTCATCCAGTTATCCCTCCAGGGTAGATACATTGAGTTCCATGTTTAGGATCCCGTAATTAAGAGTTGAATAATTCCGGCCATATGTATGGGGAGTTTCCACCCCAGGTTCAAGACTTCAAGTGGAGATATTCACTGCCACCACTTGTTTCAGCACGGGGACCCAATTCGACTATTATGTAATACAGCAGTGGTGCCGTTATATCCGCGCAGTGCTACAAACCCGGTTACCTGAGTCCAATTCCCGACCAAAGCTAACATCAGTGGTGTGTGATATTGTGCTTTTCAAACCCATGCTGACCAGTGTGCTACAACCCCCCCCCCCCCCCCAACATGACTGACACGTCTTGGAGAGGCATTCATCCAGCAGTGGATCAACCAGGGCTCTGCACGATTATTTTTATAATTATATTTGAGCGTACTCTTTGGTTCTTTCGGTAAAGTCACGTAGGTAGAAATAAAATAAAATAAATCACGACGTTTCGAACGCAACATAAGCAGACTTTATGCTGCTTGCAGCAGACATCGCAGCTGTCGTGATTTTCACCTGAAAGCGGGTGGTGGTGGTGGTGTTGCGTTCGAAACGTCGTGATTTATTTTATTTCTAACTACGTGACTTTACCGAAAGAACCAAAGAGTGTGGATTCCTGCAGTCACGAAAGCTTCAAATCAAGATTATATTTGAGCGTTACATTAGTCAGTTATTTGAGCAAAAAAGTGAGCAAGCTGGATGTTTCTGATATAAATGCGCTTGTCATGTATGGCCAGCCCCAGATTCTTAATGAGCGTAGTGTGGGAAACTAACTATCTATCACTCAATTATCCATATTGATTGCACCTGACATGGGACATCAAGTAAATATGGACAAGTTAATTCCTCCAGCAAATGTGGGCGACAAATTAGGCCTTGGCTAAAACACCAGGGTTGTTGGCCTTAATTATGCATTATTGTTGCTCGTCATTCATATTTAAATTAACTGCACATCCAGAGGTTGTTCTAGGCAACATCCCAAGAGTTATTCTAATGTTATGCACGGGCAAGTGTGTGTGATTGTGTGTGGCATGTACATAGAAATAATAAAAGCCATTTGCTGAGAATTTAACTCTGATCGTTGAGTTGATGTTCATTGTACTATCCATTGTGCCACCCCTCCACCTTTACCCAAGTGAATCCTTGGTCTAATGCAAAGCCATTGGCGGTTTGTATCCAAACCTGATCAGAGCTCCCCATAGGTTGATTCAGCCTGAAATGAGCACCTCGTACAGTTCAAGAACACAAGGGAGATAAAAGTGGCTGGACATCATGCCTACCGAACTACCACCTTAGATGCTGTGGCAGGCTGAATAGGTGCTCGATATATAGCCCCTTGTGTGTACAGAGGACGTGTACAACGGTGTAATTGACACATTTAGTAATGCATATATTACCATTAACTACCCGTGTTTATAGGCAACATATACAATGTATATAAAATGTAGCTTTGTCTATGATGTGACTATGACATCGTAGAAACTGGCTCGGAGCCTTGGGCATCAATAACGAATCTTGAAAAGTTGCCTTCATCTGCATCTATGAACAATGAACCCCAACAATCGTTTAGATATCTTCCTGGATGTGATCCCTGGGCAGTAACCCTGAACTGTGGTACACATATAGGTGTCTAGTGCTCTTCTTACCCATTAGTGATCGTACGTGTCATAGTAGAAGAGGCTCATTCTCCAAACAGGCTCAACGCTCGCTCTTCAAGGCCACGTCGCTAAGCAACGGAATGCGACTGCGATTACCATTTTAATTGTACATGGCCGCACGCTACGTTATGTATTGGACTCCTGTATGCTTGCTAATACAACACGTGGCTTTGTTGAGAAAGGACAATTCCCCCTTTAGTCAGTAGCTTCATCACCGACAGGTTTAGGTAGTGGATATAGGTGGGAAATGCAAAGATGTACCCCTGCATATACTTGCAAGCACCTCCAATAGAAGGAGCTCTCGATAACCTCTCTGGAGGGTTGGAGGGCCTCCACTAGAGGGAGGTCAAGGGAGCTTCTCTGGAGAATATTTGGCCTACTCTTCCACGCTTACCACACGTTTTGGAAGAGGTGAGCAGATCCACACTCTAACCAACCATCCTCAAACTACCAATCGACTAACTGCGGTGAACCTGTTTATACTGCGGATAAACAGAGGAGGGTGAAGGGGTGATTGAAGTAACCTCGTACCATTGTTTCATCTGCCCCGCCGGGGGGTCAAACCAAACCTGGCGACCTCTGGATCGCAAGTCCAGCGTGCTTACTCGTTACACCACGGCAGCATGCCCCCAATTGGATACCGTTGGCATGTTTATTTTTATTCGTCGCAACGGAGCACAGCGAAGGATGCTGAGGGCGACCGAGCGGATGTGCGCAACGGCGTCGCACGCTCGCCGCTCCACGCACGATCCCCGGCTCCTCCGCCGTGCGAGCATGGAGCGTGCGCGAGCATGGAGCGTGCGAGCCACGGGCTGGCGGCGCGACGGCTGAGGCCGCGCTCCCGCGCGATCCGCGGCGGTCACCCGCCCGCGCCCCGTGGCTGATTTACGATGGCCACGTATATATCGCCGCAATAAACGGAGCTGGGATTATAACTTCTCGCTTGTGGTTATTTACAGAAAGGGTAGATTTAAGCGCGGCTTAATCACGCCCAACACCGAGAGAATACGCGGCCGTAAATTGAATGCCGCAAAATGTATCGACGCAACAAAAAGGTATGAGTTATGCCTGCTGCGTTTACAGCTGCTTGACCAGCCAGCATTTGGCACCCACTTTTTGCGGTTGATATTATACTGGGTGTTTTATTTGCTCGCGTCATATAGCGGTCTCGCAGGAACTTGGCACTATGTTGAAAAAAAAGTAGTGAAAGACGTGGGTACGCACGTCATGGCCATGGTAATGACGCTCTGCTACGCAGAGCAATTAGCTAAAGAGCTGCTGGTGCTGCTAACGGGCAGTCAAGTGTGCCGCTGAATTGTAAGATCGCATTGTTGCTCTGGTCGGGTTTTAGCTTGGCCTTCAAGCCAGAAGAAATGAACAATTTATTTTACTACGGTGCACACGTGTGTACGCGAGTGCACTTTTCTATGATAGTCGACAATGAAAACGGTACAGTACTATATATTCATGAAGTGTATGAGAAGCCACTGAGACGCATGACCCCTTTTGCAACAATGAATTGGTTCCAAAGCAAAAGTCAACACAGCATTGAATGTTGTCATTGTTGCAAGTCAATCACTGGCGTTGCCGTCATCATCAACAGCCATGCACTATTCACTTCTCAACCAAAGCTTTCTTAATGTTGTTGCCTTTCTCGCAACCCATCTCACTCTTGCACGCGGGCTGATCTCCATTGCTCCATCTCTGCGGTGGTCATTCTCTCGGACGCGCTCTCTCCTTTGCCTGCCATTCCGTATACATCGGATGCCATTATGAAGAAGGAGATCTCAGAGGACACGTGAGACATCGCGGCGCTGTGTTCCTACTTTGCTGCAGGACTTGCTTTTGGTTACCGGCGTGCGGAGCCACTCGGGAAATTCAGCGTTTAACATTCATGCGAGCCTTCTGGTGGACGCCCAGTGCCCACGGCGGGAATTATACTGGCACCCCATCGCTGCCGTGAATTAAGGGTGTCGGGAGCGTTAAGTCATCGCCTTTGATCCTATTGCCCGTGCATTTCCCTGATATTGTCAGAACTCATAGGCTAAGCAGGATTGAAGCCAAGCAGCACTTGAATGGGTGAGTGGCATACTTTAAACAGTTGTTATCGGCTAATGCGAGGCTATATTGTCAGCAGTGGGCAGTGCAGAAATTTCAATTGCTCTACTGTGTTATGCTCCGATGCCCCATGCTCCCTATCGTCACCAACCTGCACTGCCCAGTGAAACATTATATGGTTAAACAACCCCCATGCCCTTCACGGAGTGAGGAGGCTCTCATTCAGCAGTGGATTGACAAATAGGGCTGCACATGTACATACTTGTGTCATTATTCATGTAACTATGTAGTGCCACTTTAATATTGGACAACAGAATGTCATGCACATTTCTTAGCCAGTGGCTGAATTTCTGCAGTACTATGGCAGGGGCCAGTCTATCGATACGACAATCACTATTGACTTGAGAAAGATGGGCTGAGTCGACCCATAATTTTGAATTTATCGTGTATTTCAGTAAATCTGAAACTTGCAAGCGAAAAGCAGACCGCGACGTGATATTCATTGCATCCATTCGTGTGCAATTTGTAAGGGCGCGGTGACACAGACCTATTTCATTTTAAGGTTGTAATCCCTTGTTCATCATGACGTCCTCTTTACTTCAATGTCTCAACAACAGCGTTACGGAGATCACGTGACGTGAGGGTTCTGCCTTTGTAGTGAGGGTTGTCAGTTGACGCTGAGGAGGGGGGAGGAGGCGCATCGCCCCCCCCCCCCATGTGGAGTGACGTCACTGCTAATTATTATAAATGGCGGGGGGGGGTGTCCATTTGGAAGACGTCACCCCCTCGATTATTATGACAGAGGGGGGCTGTTCGATGTGGAGTGACGTCACCTGCTCATGGTTATTAATGAGGGGGGGATCCATGTGGAGGACGTCACCTGTTCATGATTATCAATGAGGGGGGCTGGCCAACGTGTAGTGACGTCACGCGCGGGACACATTCTTGGTTCATTATAGTAGTAAACAAATATCTACAATATGCTGCGTGTTTGTGTGCATGCTCTATTTGGTGGAGATTGGTGAAAGCTGACAGTTGCCAGGGGTGCTTGGGGGCAATGAGGTTGTGAACTTGTGTGAGCCACCCTGAGAATTTAGTTATCTTAGAATGTTGTCCGAGGGAGCAGCGTTTCATTGGATTATTGTTGGCCTGGTTGCTAGTCTTGCGCAGCCACAGCAGTGTGTTTTGGTTTTTAAGTGAATGGGCACAATCGCCCAAAGTGCCCCCCGACTGCAGATATAACCTAACTCTAAATGTTGCTCTTTGTTTTTGCACTTAAATGGTCAAGGTTTACATGAATAATTAGACTGATTAGCATTTTATCAGTCTTAGGCCCTCGAGGACGTTAACCTGCTTTTTCGCAGGAAATTGTGCGTTAATGGCAAAATCATATTTGTACTCGCTTTCTGTCAATCCACCACTGGACATAGGCCTTATAGGGATTGTTTGACCATACTTCACCACGATAGTCGGTGCAAGTTGGTGAAGCTCAGGACTGCTTCAGATATTACTCACCACTGATGTTAGCCGAGATTGCTCAACCAGAGCCTCCTCACATTGTCGCCATTCTCACATTCAATCTCTCGCGCCTGCAACACAAGCTGATCTCATGGCTCCATCTCTGCAGAAGTCGTCCTGCTCTGTCCATAGTACAGAAGAACATGAGGCCTGGAACAAAACTGCGGCCGCTGGATTCAGTGCAGTGCACTCACCACTGTTCCCACCCCCTGTAAAGCAATGGAACATTTTTTGTTTGTTTATATGGTTTAATTAACGGGAAGCGCTGAATAGCTTCTACATATCATAGGGTTTATATATATGCATTAAGGTCTGAGGGTGCCCCGTATAGCCTTAACAGACTGTTGGAGCGAGTCTTGTTCGCGAGTACTTTTCCGTTTTAGTTTCATTTATTCGGTATAGCCCTGTGAGCCATGCGGCTCTTGACTCGGGTGCAACCGCAACAAACAAAAACATGCACAAAGAACATCTTAAAGTGACTACGCACAACAGAAGAATCCAGGAAAAAAACAGCAAAGTCTGCCGGAAAAAAACACCGCATTTAAACGCTGTGTGCAAAAATCCAGTGCGATGCAAGTCAAACAATAACAACCATAAGACAATTTAGATTAAAGTTATCAGGCTAATTCTGTACTTCAAACAAACATGTCTAAACCATACGTTTTCGAATCACCAAAATAAAGCTATCAAAACAATGTAACAGTAATCATAGGAACTGTGATTTAAATTTAACAATAAACGATATACATAACATGTACGACCAAACTTTGCAGCCATAGCTGGCAGCATGAGTCACTCCATAACAGCAGGAGTGTCAACATTTTTCAATGCACCTTTAAAGATCAGCACACTATAATCAAAACTCAAGATCATACTTTTTCAGCGGTCATCCGGAGCGATGCATTTGGTCGGACCTCCAAAGCCAAGCAGATCTGAGCTTGCACAGTGCCAGGATGGGTGCCCACCATGCACAAAGAGGTTGTCATAGGGCTGGAGGGCCACGTTGTGTGTATATCGAGTTGTACTATACGTATATTCTGCCCGCCTTCACCATCCGCACTGACCAGCCGGGGTGAAGTATGGTTAAACGGCCTCCACAAACAGCACAGCGTGTGTAGGCCCTCATCCAGCAGTGGATTGACAAAAGGTCTCTATGCTCGTATGGGCATTAGTGCGGTGCACATCTTCATCAGTGGAAATTCCACATTCCCATGGCAGGACGACTTCGCACAAAGTGGTACCAATTTTATGACCCTGTAGAGATGACAAAGATGGCTTTCCTTTGTTAACCCTACAATAAATGAAAGCGTGCGCATTTCTATACAACAGTCTAGGTAATTAAAGGTTAATAGCATGGCTATTACAATTAAAATAACGATCACCCCGATTGCAAAGTAGAACGACACGATACGTATAGCGCGTTTAATTTGTCGCGTTTGCCATTGGGTACTACTGTACTGTATAATAAAATACGGCAAGGCGCCTATAGACTGTGATTCTCTAACAATGCGCGCATATGCCCACACCAGTTCATATCGCGACACCGTATTCGACACGCACATGTTTAGCACTTAACTTTAAAGCATTTATACGAACAATAATAATTAGAACATTTACTTTGACAATTTGAATCGCGATAGCATTCAATTCAAAATCACGATCATAGTTCTCACCTCCTCGTCCAACTTCAGCATAACCATGTAGCCCTCAGTGGCGTCGGAACGGGCGTGACAAAGCAAACGATAATACTATTTATTACGATTATAACTATGTAATTATTTTAAAATTTAAGTTCGCCTCGCGATCGGAGGTAAGCCACAGGCGGCCGCTCCGGCGCCATGACGAGCGGCGATACAAGCGCGGCCTCTCATTGTTCATAGGCTGGCCAGCAACAGCCGCTCTGATTGGACGAGACGTTGCACCGCGTGGTTGGGCGCTACCATTCGTGATTTTTAAATAGGGGGGGGGTAGAATGTGAGTATTAATTGAATTATTCTTGGTTCTTTCAGTAAAGTCACGTAGAAGGGAAACAATAAAATAATAAAAAAAATATTGCTGTGGTTTTCACACCTGATGATGATTGCTAGTGTTGCAGTCGAAACGTAGTGATAATTTTATTGTTTTATATTTTTATTATTTTATTGTTTCCCTTCTACGTGACTTTACCGAAAGAACCAAGAATATGAATCCCTGCAGTCACGAAAGCTTTAAATCAAAAATATTTTTTTTTAAACCACGAAGAGGACCAGGATCAGCTGGACCTGGACCGTTTTTTTAAATGAAATCTTGAATTGTCACGAGAGACGAGTCTATGTATAACATTTCAGCTTCGGATCTTCATAGATCCGAAGATATTAAGCGTCAAAGATTTGAAAGAATATATACGGACAACAGGGAAAGTTCAATGAAAGTGTTTTATAAACACTGTGTAACATTTTTATTTCATTTATTTGGTAGAGCCCTGAATCGGGTGCAACCGCAACAAACAAAAAACAAAAACATGAACAAGAAAACATCTTAAAGTGACTATGCGCAAACAGAAAAATCCAGGAAAAAGCAGCAAAATCTTCCAGAAAAAGCACCGTCCACCAACGCTATTTTTGTTTTATACACTTTGGTTATTTCGGTAAAGTCACGTAGGTATAAAATTAAATAAATCACGACGTTTCAATCGCAACACAAGCGGTCGTGATTTATTTTATTTTCTACCTACGTGACTTTACCGAAAGAACCAAAGAGTATGGATTCCTGCAGTCACGAAAGCTTCAAATCGAGATTACATTTTAGTTTTGTTCCTGTTATTTCCTAATTGCTTATGCCTCAAAAGTAAAGAAAATGGCTATTATTTCCCGCCTGTGGTAGTGCGCCTTGGTGTCTAAATCTTTTGTAGTCATTTTTGTATTACTTTAGTATAAATACATGTTAATTTTGATTAATATGTTGTTTTTTCTGTCTTTATGTGAACGAAAACACAAATTCGCCCGTTTTCTCATTGAAAATAGGTAAATGTCAAAATATCACTGTCCTGGTCACAAAAGAAAGTTTATGGGGAATAATAGCTATTTTGTGTATACTTTTTAGGCATAAGCAATAACACTACCCAGGAACAAAAATTGTGTTACATAAACATATCTTGTCGTTTTGATTAAATGTCCCGGCATCAATTTGAAATTGTTCCTTACACGTTTGTCTATGTCTGAATGGCTTCCCTGTATTCCTGTAAGCCAACCTTGCCCAATGGACTACACAGCAGCATAATGATTATAACTGGCTATACCTTTCTGATGAGTGCTAGTGAAGTTGAAACTGGTTTAGAGTTTTGCTTGTTCAATAAAAACTAATAGAAACGACTTGATCCGGAAGGCCCACAGCTTCCTAGTTTAAAGGAGACTACATTCTATAATGATTAAAGAAACCCACTTGTTAGTGTGTATGTATTCGTGTTTGATTAATTTATCTATTATTTCAAACAGTGCCCTCATGCTGTAGACAGAATGCCCCTTCTACTATTGAAATGTTGGAATTTCCACCACCTACAAAGTATCCCATTATATTAATTTCATAAACTAGAACCAAATCCAAAGCTGGGATGCATAGGGGCGCTCATGCGTGGTTGGCTGGGGACTCTTAACACGGACTGACAGAGGTTGGGCCGCTTGTCTGATTTAGGGACCATCACAGGAGTCGCTCCACAGCTAGATGGGGAAATAGATGGCAGTAGTACGGATGTGTGTTGGTGCATGTGTGTTGGTGCTGAAATTACGGAATGTAGATGCAATAGGGAGTGCTGCTGTTGCTGGCATTAACAGAGAGGTGAGCTTTATTTTCATTGCAAATTCTATTTGCCCTGGGGCCTCGTGCGAGCTGGGCAATTCCATGCTACGGTCTCGCTCAATTAACCGTTTGGCAGCTTTAGCAAATGCAGCCCTCGCTACATTTACACTTAGTCAGCATAGCCCGCTTGTTGTTTAGTTTATTTGTGTGTGTGTGTCGGGACATGGTGGTGAAGTGGTTCACGCACTGGGCTATGAACCCGGTGGCTTGGGCTCCATTCCCGATGACGTCTAACAGCAGTGACAAGTGCTATCAATGCTTGCACTGGAGTTGCCCTAGGTCAACTCAGTCTTAAATAAGTACTCAATCTTAATTCGGTGATGTGTATAACTCGGCACTGGTGAGACAAAGCTGTTTAATAGGTGCTCACTAACAGTACTTTTTCCAAAGGACCTGTAAAGCTAAACAGAGTATCTGATTCCTTGGTGGGGGTAATGATCAGAATCAGTCTTTATCCGATGAGGAATCCGATGAGCTATAAAGCTATTTTTCACAGATGTGCAGTGGGGTCATCGTGCATCGCTCTACAGTTCTGGCGTTCAGAGTTTAATTATTGGCCATGTGTATCTTCACAGTGGCATGGGATGTCTGGATCTGGCATTGATTTTCCAATTTGTTGACTCAGTGTTAAATGACTACCAAATATAGGTCTCATATGTCGAGAAAAAAAAACCACATCAAGCCCACTGTGAATCTGATCACACCACCTCTTTGTGGAGCCCTGCCTGCGTTAATAATAGGTGCTTCCACACGGCACATCTGCCGTCGTGTGTACGCATGCCTGTTTTAAACATTTCAACATAAATTTTAATGTTGGACATACTTGTAATATGCTTTTTTTTGCAGCATTGGAAAATAACTGTAACAACATTGCATGTTATACACTATTCGACTAATTAGATTTCTTATTTTTGTTACTTTCACACATTTTCTGAACATTTAAACGCACAAAATAGAGAATATAGATTTTTTTTTTTAGAATAACCTTTTTCACAACACTTGTTTAATTGTTTTCCTTATGAATGCATGGTTTTATTCACAGAGATACTGGCACCTTAACTTGATGCTGGCTATACCGGCGTATATGCCACCTTCTTGCTGCCCCGGGGAATATAAAAAAATAAAGCTAAGGTCAATCAACCAATTTGACCCGATTTATCTCGCGGGAGCTTTTTTAGTCAGGATCACGAAACAAGTTAGTTTTTGTTTGTTGCTCATAGAGAATTCAATATAAATTTTATGGGCATCTCTAACGCACCGCATTTCACGAGGGATTCTTTCAGAATCGTGCTGCGCCAAAAAAAAAAGTGGGGCTTCAAATTCAGCAGACGCACGGCTAGATGGTGGCAAATACATAAAACACCAGCGCACGCGTGCGTGTTGTGTGTACGCGCGCGTGCGTATTTATGTAATGTGCACGCGCGTGTTATGTGTACGCGCGCGTGCGTATGCATGTAACATGCACGTGCGTATTTTGTGTACGCGTGCGCATTTATGTAATGTGCACGTGCGTGTTGTGTATGTGCGTACGTGTGCGCGCCTATGTAATAATGTGCACGTGAGGCGTATTTATGTTGTGTGCGCGCGTTCTGCAACGTGCGTGTTACGCGCGTGTGCGTGCCCGCCCGTGCGCGTGCCCGCGC